TACAGTCTCTATTACCCGAATAATATAAGTACGAATAATTGGCGCATATAAAACCTTCAAAACACTTGTCTTTTTCTTTATCCTATTTTAATGAGAGTTGTTTATCATCTTGCCTGCTACTCCTGTTTTTATCTTTTTTGGTGAATTTCTTCCATAATAACCGAATTAATACAAATGGGCTGTTTTTGTGTTTTCCATCCACTACTATATGTGTTTCTCTGCTGAGGGTGAGTGCGGCGTATGCTTGCTTCGTTCAGTTGAACCAATCAACATACACGCCAAGTGACGTTATAGCAAAGAAATTATATTTACTTATAATGAATAATGAAATGAGTCATATCAGATGATAGAGATTTAACCATACTCTGTTGACATTGATATAAAACTATGATGCAAAATGGAGATGAAATGAAAAATTATAATTTTACGATATTTATCATGGTAATTGGTGACTGACGATATGATATGATATGTGTTATGATATTGCTCTGTACTTCTCCCAAATAATGATTTTTTTTCTGCAGAAATTTGGCAAAGAATTCTGCTTATGGCCATCGACCGCTAGAGGGCGCAGCCATGGTTGTAAACCTCCCAATAAAACCGGGCCCTTTTGCTGAGTTCTTATCTCGCTATGCCACCGAATCACTAGGATATGTATAAAATCGTCCAGTAATCAATACATTACATGTTTTTTTAAAGTAATTAACTAGTTTGCAGAGTTATTTATTGTAGTGTTCAAATTGTTATGTACTTTTCCCAAATAAAATTATTTAAAAAAAAAAGTTCCAAGTCACGCAGGGTGTCCCTGGAGAATTTGGCAAACAAATTTCTGCTTATGGCCATCGGCCACTAGAGGGCGCAGCTATGGCTGTGAACGTTCCAATAAAACGAAACGTTTGCCAAAATGTGTTGCATCTTTTTATTCTCAACGATTTTCTATTTTAAATGTTCAATATTTTTAGTTTCAGAATTTTCAATGTTCTCCCAAATATGATGAGAAAAATACTACAATAGTTCATTCTAACGCGACATGGATAGAAGCCATCCGTGAATCGATCTAAAAACACTTATTTTCACCGTAACATGAGTCAAGACCGTCCATGAATCGTACTAAAACACAGCCCATTATAGTTTATTTTATCTTAACATAGAGCTAAATGCTATTAAATATTATATTTATTCCTTGAAAATCTTCACACTATTTTGAAATAGATCTGAAAGCTAAAATGCATTGAGAATTACATAATAAAATTTTGCTTCATACACAATGGCTACAAATTATAACATTAGTCGTGTTGTTTTTACATAGCAGAACCAGACGGTCGCAATGTCTATGTTTCTGATGTAATGTTTGTGTCTTTTTGTAAACTTGCGTCACTGAAATTCACAACAGTCATGCGATTTATTGAAACCTACAACATGTCAGAAAACCGGTAGCGTTGCTGGACAAATAAATACCGTTTTTTGGTAAACTTGTATTATACGTGGGGATGACGAAGCCTACGTGATCGACAATCGACGAAAACCCTCACTGTACTGGCCGATACGCAGCTTAATATTTTATCAAAGTCTAGTTCTTCCTCGGTAGGTTATCCGCAGACACCGTAGTTGTTATTATATCATAACTGGGTAGATTTTATGTCAAAACCATCTTCACTTGGAAACGGTGATGAGCCATTTCTTCTCTTCACGCGCGACAGCTTTCAAATGAGAATTGCGCCACCACAGCTCAACACCAACAGTTCTTCTTTGGTGTTTTTATTCCAAGATCACATATTGCGCAAATACAGGGGAAAGTATGAACTACAAAATGAACAACTTCAGAAGCTGGATAGTCAACAAATCAGTATGCAAATTAAATCCTTCAGTCTGTCACTCAACATGATATGTAAATGTATGGAGGACAAAGCGTACCACAATTACAGGAGCCTATTATGCTTCACTTTTGATGAAATTAAGAGAACCTATCAAAATCAAGAGCCTGTAGGACAATGCTCCGGTCCACAACTCGCACGTCGCCAAATCAGAATCACGGGTGCGTGGCTATGAAATCCGCCCCACCCCCTTACTCTCCTGACCTTGCACCCTCTGACTTTTATCTCTTCCCACCCATGAAGTTGTTTTTGAAAAAAAAACGTTTCCCAGATGATGCAGCCTTGATTTCTGAAGTAACGACGTGATTGGAGGACCAACCTGGGGTTCTACAAAAACGGTGTCCAGAGCTGCATCAAACGATGGGAGAAATGCATAACTCTGGGTGGTTCATATGTATAGAAAGACTAATAACTGTGCAAAGTTTCATTAATCTCCTGCTATGAGAAATGGGTCAGGGGCATCACTTATTGAACGCCCTCGAATATGCCAACGACTTAGATCAAATATACAAATACATCTACCAACTTTGCAATCACTTTGCACCGTGTTTTAGCAGCCTGAAACCACGATGTGCCGGCAGCATCTACACAAAATTCCACAAGCTGGCTTACTCAGGCAGTATCGCTTGCAAGTACTAACCACGCCCGATTTAACTTTACTTTAGACATCGGTAGATCACCTTACCTCACTGCTGTATGAATAATTTGAAATTGGTTCGAATTGATACTATTTCATGCTAAGGCATTCTCTACAATTGATATCGTTTGCACATTAATTACTTGAATTGACCTATGACCTCTACATGATTCTAGTAACACTACGCTAGTTTAACGGCAATTTACGAAATATTCATTCACATTTTCAAACTCTTAACTATGGGTCCCGTCAATATAATATCGTATGAAAATATTACCAAATGAATCTACTAACTTTGCAATCGCTTTTTACAACTTTATCGACCGTTTTTCGGTTCGCTGTTGAGATGATCTACTTACATATTGGACATTTTATAAACATTTACCTGATGTTTTCAAAATTTAACTGCGGGGTTTCCATGACAATGACTTAGGTTAAATATACAAGCAACTCCGCCAACATTTAAATCGCCTTTTCCAACTTTGCATGCTGTTTTCTAACATTTTGCAGTCAGCTCATGTGAAGATTTATAGGCTGCTTTCAACTGGCTTTTATTGAATTTGTCGACTTTACAACTGCGCGTTTATATATGTAAACAACTTAAGTCATATAAAGAAATACATCTACCAAGTTTGCAATAACTTTGCACATCTATGCAATCACTTTGAACAACTTTGCACGGTGTGTTAACCCACTAAGTGCGACAGCATTGACAACTTGTTCTTGAAAATTATAAAGCATTTGAAAACTTTCCATTAATTAAGAAGATTACAAAAATTCTTCGATTCTGCACTATAAATGATTGACATCACAGTAAGAAAGAACACCTTATATCTTTTCCATGTGTGTGATGAAAAAAAAAACGAAAGAAACAACAACAGCTCGTTTACTCAGGGTGTCGCCCATGCAAGTACTTAGAACGCCCGACTGTGCTTTACTTTACACATTTGTCGGCCAACTAACTAAACAGCTGCATGGATTATTTAAAATTGAGACGAATTGGCGGCTATTTTTTTTTTTTTTTTAATGTTTTATAATCGATATCGCTTGCACAAGTACCTTCTAAAATTTACCTATGACCTCTACATTCTACTGGTAACACTATGATAATTTTACAGCAATTTACGAAATATTTATTCTCATTTACGATCTTTTAACCATATAACTTGTTAACATTATATCACAGGTAACAATCCCGATAACAACTACCAACTTTGCAATCGCTTTTCACAACTTTGCGCGGTGTGTTAACAGCTTAAAACCTACTACGTGCCGACAGCATCAACAAATTGTTCTTGAAAATTAGAAGGAATTTGAAAACGTTCCATTAATTTAAAAGATTTCAAAAATTCGACGATTCTTCATTATATATGATTGACATCAGTACCAGCTTTTTCGTTTCATCGCACACATGGACAAGATATGTGGCAACGTTTGTGCAATCTTGTTTACTATGATGTAAGTCGTGGAGATTTTTGTATTTTTTAAATTCATGGAAAGTTTTTAAATGCCCTATAATTTGCAAAGAACACGTTATTGATCCTGCTAAAACACGGTGCAAAGTTGTGTATTTGTTCAGTTGACCTAAGTTGTTGGCATATAGAAGTCGAGAAAATTAATAAAAGCCAGATGAAAGCAGCCTATATTAGCACATAGTCACATAGTCCAGTCACTCTAGCAAAACCCGTCACAAATTGCAACAGAAAATAATTTCTTCACATTGCTTTTCGGAAAGGTATCTAGATTGACATGCTAAACGTCTAGGATAATCTAGGCTTTCGAAATATACCTAATTTGCATATATTCAAAATGGCCGTTTTGCACATTTTTACAACATGGAAATATAACTATTTGAACATATCTTTAATTCTAGTTGAAGTATTTTAAAATTCATAATGCTATTGTACTGTTTTGAGTAGGAGAAGGTATGAGAGTGCCAAATGTGTTGATTGGGTAGATGAAAATTACCCTAAATCCAATATGGCCACGATAATATATTTTTTTAGTGTAACTTCTTGTCCGGCTTCTCTTTTGTGTGGCATAAATAATAAGTTTAAGATGCTAGAATACAATTTTAAACAGAATCGTACAGTAAGAAAACATGTAAATAAATGGTTTCCCGGAAAGACAGATGTTATCTGCATAAATCCAACATGGCCGTCACATTAAAAAAAACTAAGAGGAATGAAACACCTTGGTTGGATTTACAATCTGCTATACTATATACATAATAGACTATTTAAACGTAAATTTTCAACTCTATAAACTATATTATTGATTTAACTGTATTAAATAGTTATAATTCTGTCCAAAAGTTTATTGTTTGATTAATGTAATTGCTAATAGTCATCACTATCTTCATTAGATATCTGAACTACATTTGTGCATCCAGATCATCGACATTGACCACAAACTGCAGAACAGTCAAGGTTGTGCTTTCTGCAGGTACATCTGAGACTGCGACAGTCTGTGGAGCAGTTGCATCTCACTATCCTCAAGATCTTCAGGTGCTGCCTCCTTGTTAGTAATTACAGGAATGACGATCGGTTGTGGATCGCGTCCTGGCATTTGCTTCCTGGCGAGAAAGCTGATTCGTGTCTTTATCATGACTTGATTGCCCATAAAGGCGACAGACCCGTGGAGATGGACATGGCCCCTAGTTCAGCCCAACGTCAACCTGGGGCGGGGGTGAGTAGGAAGACTGTTTTCCACGTCAAAAGTTTGAGTGGTGCTGATCGGAGAGGCTCAAAGGGCAGTCTGCTTAGAGCGGCCAACACAACCGATAAGTTCCAATTGGTTGGTTCCCTCGTTTGGGGTCTAGCCTTCTGATTAAACAGTAAACAGTCTTCTAATGGAAGGATAACCGGCTAGCCTCGTCCTCGGACAACCCCAATGGTGGATGACAAGGAAGACCTATAGCCAACAATCGCTGAAAGGACAAGTCCATTTCGTTCAAAAGATGGACGAAAAGTCAGCTGTCTGGCCAACAAAGGGATGGCATGGAACTCCCTTCCACTACACTAATCGGTGTACGCACATCATTTTGAGGTGTAGGCTGTGTTGATGGGATCCCTGTTCACCCTGGCCAGGACGTTGGCAGCCCACTCAGACAAAATCTGAGTGAGTCAACTGAGAGCCTCAATGCGTGTAAGTGGTACACCACTGGGCTCAAAGGCAGTGCACCGCCTGGTTGGGACAGCACATCTGGAACTCCGGAAGGACCCCTGGTGTTTCGACTACCATTTCAAACAGTAGTGGAAACCAGACCTTGCTTGGCCTGTTGGGCATCACCTGCATCAAAGTGCAGATGCGCTCCTGTCGAAGTTTCTCCAGTACCCAGTGAATAGCGGGAAGGGAGGAAAGACGTACACGTCCATCTGGGTCTATGGGAGTCGACAAAGTGTCCCTGGCCAAGGCTCCTGGAGTCAGCAGGAAGTACGTCAAAAGCTTGGCGTTCCAGATGTGCTAAATATGTCTAACCTTAAAGTGTGCCAATGCTAAAACAGTCTGGAGGTTACCCATAGAGGTTATTCACCACTCAACGTTCTGGAGACAGAGCCGCCACGAGAGGGCGTCCACTTGACTGTTTCTTGCCCCTGGAAGGTGGTGTGTGACTAGCTCCACATTGTATTCCAGGTGCCAAAGGGAAATTTGTTTCGCTATGACTTACAATGATGGGAATTTGGTTCCCCTCTCCTTGTAGCTATAGGAGACCACTGCTGTGTTGTCAGTATGAAGCAAGACTCTGTGGTCTTGAACTATGGGTGGAAAGTGAAGTAGTGCTAAGCGCACTTCTTTAAGTTTGACCGTGTATCGCCACCTAGAGAGTCCAGGGATCAGTTACGCACTGCCTATAAACCGAAATACACTGGTGCAATCAGTGTGACAGAGATGTGTGGGTTCAGCGGTTACACATCATGTGATCTCCTCCGCTGAGGTGAGACCCCACAAAGCCTGAAGAAATCCATAGGTTCCGACTCTGCCTCCCGCCGAACATATGCCCATCCCCTTGTCGCTGTACAGCCCCTGTCACGAGAGCCAGATGACATCGCAGAACATCCCGCTTAGCTTTGTGGTGTCCCACCAATGGCTGAGTCTGCTGGTCTAGGAGGCTGGTGCATTCCGCCATTGAGACATGAGAGTGCTGGCAGAGCAAAACAGTTTGTTCCAGTGGGCTGGCCACAACTCGAAGGTTTCAGGTCGCCACTCTGCCACCAGACGAAATATTCCATGAACGCAGCCACCCCCTTTGTCATCCCACAAAACCAAAAAAAAATTGTGGTACCGGGGTCTGGAGAGGAACCGAAGGATCCGATCGGGTGCATTATTTGACTCGCGGCTCTGCTGGCTCCCATTGCAAACACCACTCGATCAGGTAGCGCTTGATCCATCAAAAAAGTTTGAGCATAAAATTGAACTATCCTAAAGACTTAGGCCTCTATCTCGCGGGGACCAAGGTCTGCCCATCAACACCGTCTGTGCGCTCCCCATGGCGGGATCCAAAGCAATACCGAATGCAGGACTCTGGATCCCGGAAGTGACCGTTTCAGGATCGAAGGTGGGGGTACATTAAGTACATTTTCTGAGAATGCCTCATATATAAGCAGATTATCACAACAGTCAACGAAAAGTCGACAACAAACCGCTTACAAAGTTGTGAAAAGCGATTGCAAAGTTGGTAGTTTCATTCGGGAATGTTTTCTGTGATATCGTATTAACAAGTCCCATACGGCAACAGTTCTGCATTATTTCTTCCTGTGATGTCAATCATTATAGCAGAAAATCGTGGCATTTTTGTAACGTTTTTAACTAATGGAAAGTTTTGAAATTCCTTCTAATTTTAAAATACAAGTTGTTGATGCTGCCGGTATGTAGTGGGTTTTATAAGTTGTTAACGCACCGTGCAAAATTGTTCAAAGTCATTGCAAAGATATGCAAAGTTATTGCAAAGTTGGTAGATGTATTTGTATAAATGACCTAAGTTGTTGGCATTTAGAAACGCGCAGTTGTAAAGTCGACAAATTCAGTAAAAGCCAGTTGAAAGCAGCTTATAAATGTTCACGTGAGTTGACTGTAAAATGTTAGAAAACAGCGTGCAAAGTTAGGTAAAAAACGTAAGAAATGTTGGCGGAGTTGCTTGTATACATAACCTCAAGTCATTATCTTAACAACCCCGCAGTTAAATTTCGAAAACATTAAGTACATGTTCCGAGAATGCCTCATATTTAAGCAGATTATCACAACAGTCACCGAAAAGTCGACAACAAACTGCTTACAAAGTGAAAAGCGATGGCAAAGTTGGTAGTTTCATTCGGGATTGTTTTCTGTGATATCATATTAACAAGTCCCATAGTTAAAAGTTCGAACATGTGAATAAGTATTTCGTAAATTGATGTTAAATTAGCGTAGTCTTACTCCAAGTATGTAGAGGTTATATGTCAATTGTAAAAGATACTTGTGTAAACGATATCGGTTTTAAAACATCACAAAACCTGAAATAGCCGCGAATTCGGCTTAATTTCGAATGATCGATGCAGTTGTGTGGTTATGTGATCGACAAATGTTTAAAGTAAAGCACGATCGGGCGTGGGAGACTCACTGAGTAAACGAGCAGATGAATTTTTTTTGTTTCATCACAAACATGGAAAAGATATACGGCAACATTTCTACATTTTTTCTTCCTGTGATGTCAATGATTTATAGTAGAAAATCGTGGCATTTTTGTAACTTTTTTAACTAATGGAAAGTTTCGAAATGTATTTGTATAACTGACCTAAGTTGTTGGCATATAGAAACGCGCAGTTGTAAAGTCGACAAATTTAATAAAAGCCAGTTGAAAGCAGCTTAATATAGATGTTCACGTGAGTTGACTGTAAAATGTTAGAAAACAGCGTGCAAAGTTGGAAAAAACGAAAGAAATCTTGACGGAGTTGCTTGTATATATAACCTAAGTCATTATCATAATAACCCCGCATTTAAATTTCGAAAACATTAATTACATGTTCCGAGAATGCTTCATATATAAGAAGATTATCACTACAGTAACCGAAAAGTCGACAACAAACTGCTTACAAAGTTGTAAAAAGCGATTGCAAAGTTGGTAGTTTCATTCGTGATTGTTACCTGTGATATCATATTAACAAGTTCCATAGTTAAAAGTTCGAACATGTGAATAAGTATTTCGTAAATTGATGTTAAATTACCGTAGTCTTACTCCAAGTATGCAGAGGTCATAGGTCAATTGTGAAAGATACTTGTGTAAACGATATCGATTTTAAAACATTCCAAAACCTGAAATAGCCGCGAATTCGGCTTAATTTTGAATGATCTATGCAGTTTTTGGTTAGGTGACTGATAAATGTTTAAAGTAAAGCACAATCGGGCGTGGTTAGTACTTGCATGGGAGTCTCCCCGAGTAACCTGAGCTGTTGAATTTATTTTTTTTGTTTCATCACAAACATGGAAAAGATATACGGCAACATTTCTGCATAATTTCTTCCTGTGATGTCAATCATTAAAGTAGAAAATCGTGGCATTTTTGATTGCAAAGTTGTGCAAAGTAAATGCAAAGTTGGTAGATGTATTTGTTTATATGACCTGAGTTGTTGGCATATAGAAACGCACAGTTTCAAAGTCGACAAATTTAATAAAGGTCAGTTAAAAGTCTATAAATATTCACATGAGCTGACTGTAAAATGTTAGAAAACAGGGTGCAAAGTTGAAAAAAGCGATTTCATGTTGACGGAGTGGCTTGGATATTTAACCTAAGTCATTGTCATGGCAGCCCCGCAGTTAAATTTCGAAAACATCAGATAAATGTTCCGTGAATGCCTCATATATAGGCGTATTGTTACATGGACAGTAAACTGCTTACAAAGTTGTGAAAAGCAATTGTAAAGTTGGTAGTTTCATTTTAGGCTCGTTACTTGAGATATCATATTAACAAGTTCCATGGTTAAAAGATCGTAAATGTGAATAAGTATTTTGTAAATTGCTTTTAATTTACCGTAGTTTTACTCATAGTATGTAGAGGGCATAGGTCAATTCTAGAAGGTACTTATGCAAGCGATAGCGAATTTAAAACATTCAAGAACATGAAATAGCCGCCAATTCATCTCAATTTCAAACAATCCATGCAGCTGTGTGGTTAGGTGGCCAACAAATGTTAAGATATAGCACAATCGGGCGTGGTTAGTACTTGCATGGGGGACTGAGTAAATAAACTGTTGGAATGTTTTTCCTTTTATTTCATCATATAGATATAAAGCAACGTTACTGCGTTCTTTCTTAATACATGTACTCAGGCAGCATCCCATGCAAGTACTAACCACGACCGAATTAGCTTTACTTTAGACATCGGTCGATCACCTTGCCTAACTGCTGTATGAATAATTTGAAATTGCTTCGAATTGGTGACTATTTCGTGTTTGGATATGCTTTGATGCATAATTCGAGTAACACTACGCTAGTTTAACGACAATTTGCGAAATATTTATTCACATTTTCGAACAATGTGTCCCATTAATATAATATCATATGAAACATCATCAAATGAATTTCTCTACTTTGCGACCGCTTTTTCGCATCTTTGTAAGCGGCTTGTCGTCCGTTTTTTCAGCTCG